AGGCTCCAGGCTCGCCCACGCATCGAATTCTGTAGACGTGGATCTTATTTAGCACAATAATTGACCATTTTTTGCTTCATTCTAGTCCAAAATTGGCATTATTTGGCGAATTACTACCAGGCATGTAGACTGTTCAGGGACTGCTATCGGTATTTTCCCTAGGCTGATGCTCCCTCCCCCTACTTCCTCAGCGGGCACTTGACAGCTTTACCAGCATGTGATAATTGACGATAAAATTGCTATCACTAGAGGTTACACGCTCTCTTCTAGCCTGATTTCCCAGAAATCATGAACAGTGATTTTGTATTTTTATGATATGTCCTTAGCCTTTTCGTGTTTTGTTAATGTTCAAACTTCTCGATATTTGCGAAACGTCATGAATATTTCATAAAAAGCTTTATTTGCGTTTTTTTTTTTTTTGAGGTGAAAGACGACGTGCGACTTCATCAGGAGCTATACTCTTTACTTTACGTCCCTCATCCCTTTATTATTCCTGGCGGTCGCTTTCGTGAATTTTATTATTGGTATGTTTCTTTTTTTTTTTATTTAAACTCTTTTTACTAAAAATTTCGAAGAATCTTTGTAAAATCTCCTGAATGAATGAATGGTTCATTTCCAGGGATCTTTGTAAAACCATTATTGGAATAAGTGAATTTTCTATGTTTCCAGGGATTCGTTCTGGATTGTGAAAGGCTTACTTTTTTCGGAAATGTATGAAACTGCAAAAGGGATTATTCGTAATTTGGCTTATATGGTTGAAAAGTTAGTATTTTAGCTTTTACGTTGCGGATTTGCTGTTTGAGTTGATTGAGGGAGTAATACCATAAGTTGCAAAAATTTTTCTTTTTTTTTTTTGCATAAAAGATTACGGCAAATTGCCGGAAGATTGGCAAAAAAGAATTTTCGAGCTACTTTCAGCTTTGATCCTTTGTCTCTTTATTATTTTCCACCCCACATTTGTGATTTCTTTTTTTGTGTATTTTTATGTCTCACGCGTTCTCGTCTTTCCTTATTGCTATGTTTGTCTGTTATTTTATCGTCGATGCAGCTGGCTACGTTTCCACTCTGTTTTCGCGGCCAGTTAGCCTTTTGCAGAGGTGTCCAAAATGTATTCTTCGATCTCATTGCCCGTTCTCTTAAGTTATGTTTCGTTAATAACGATTTTTCTATCGTTTTTCAGCCACGGTTTTGTGCCCAATGGTGGTCGCGTTTATTATCTAATCAGATCACAGCCACCGCTACTAACCCCTATGGTTTATGAATATTTTTTGGCCACTGGCGATCTGGATTTTGTTCAGGAGGTTCGCCACTTATATCTTTTGTGGGTGAGAGTAGCTCAGTGCGAGTAAATGCTTCGCATGCATCTATTGCGGACAGGTTTCGAGAATTTGCCTATAGCTGTGAGAGTTTGAAAGTTCTGAGGGTTAGGTTGTGTTGGTGTAGGTTGATAGCTTGTCCAACAATCTTCCTGGACAGTTTTTATAATTCTTCCATGGTAATCCAGTGAGTGGCCTGCAGAATTTGAAGATGACGAAAGGTGGCAGGGGCTGTTGTTCGAATTCGGGTCATTCAGATTAACCTGTCAAAAGTGTTTTTCGTTGTTGGCAAAAAATTACATAGTCAGCGAACAAAAACAGAAATGAGGTTATTTTCATAGAAATAAATGAATCACTTTGCAAGCGCTTCGCTGTTGCACTTTGAGGGACTTCTGTTTTAGCAGTGTATTGCTTCTGGCCTAATGCATAGTTGTTTGGGAGATTGTTCTTTGCTCGGCACTTTGGATTTCTGAAGTACGCGACTTCTCTGCGCGAAAGGCTTTTAAGGTGAAGTAGTCAGTACCTAAAATGTGCCGCTGTACTGATTGTTGTTGCAGTTTGTGCTTGTTTATCAGATTGACAGGTTGATGTGGATGAATCAAAAATAAATAAATAAATAGCAGCGCACACCAGAATAGCCTGTGCGATCATGCGTTTTGTGCAATTCCGTCCACCAAACGATTGCCTGTTAATGATTTTTACTGCTTTTCACTTTGCAAAAATAGTTGAAATGTTGAAAAACAGTTAAAAATTTCTTGGATCGTCACGTAAAGCTGAATTTGAAACTTCGAAGGGGACTTTTTTTCCCTGTCTGAAAATTTTGCGAAGTTGTACGTGGTCAGGGGATGCCGTGCTAAAAATTCAGCTCCCTAGATTCCGTAGTGCCGGAGATAATAATTTACCTGTAAAAGTTCTCACGGGGCTGTAAGTGATACTCGAGAGAGAGAGAGAGAGAGAGAGAGGGGACGCTCGATTTGAATTTGTAAGGTCTTACATGGGCGGAGGGTCATTACCCTAAAATTCTGCCTTCGTAGTTTTCGTGGTTCTCGAGATAATAATTTACCCGCAGAAATTTTCACAGGATCGTAAGTGATATCCTAGAGCACGGGAACGCTGAATTTGCAAAGTCGTGCGTCGACAATTTGCAAAGTCACTAGCCCAGAATTTCAGTTCCCTAGAATCCGTGGTTCTCGAGAAAATAATTTATTCGTCAAAATTTTCACGGGACCGTTCGTGTTATCCGCAGGCAGAAAAAAGCTAAATTTAAATTCTCTGGATCGCATGTGGGCAGTGGACATGCCCACGAAATTTCAGCCTTGTGGCTTCCGTAGTTTCCACGGCAGTAATTTTACCCGCCAAAACTTTTACCGGGCTATAGACGTTCCCCTTGGGCAGGGAAAAGCTGAATTTGGATTTTCTGGGTAGCTTGGTTCTCGTGACAATAATTTTACCTGCTACGGGGCCGTGTGTGTTACCCGCGGGTACAGGGAGGCTGAATTTAAATTTGCGGGGTCACACATGGCTGAGGAACGTTCCCCTAAATTTTTAGCTTCCTAGCTTTTGTGGTTCCCGAGTTGAAAGTTGCGGACAAG